GCGTCGCAGCCGGCACCAACCTGCACGAAGGTGTCCGATTAACGGTTCGAGGGCAGTTTTGGGGATAATGGTTTAGGGGTTGATGTGGGTTGGGAGGGGCAACGAGGACAGGGCGGAGTCTGCGCACAACGCAGGTTGCATCGGAGCAGCTGAGACGAGTTGTAAATCTATCTGAGCTACACTGTCGCGTACCCAGCTCCACACCCGTGCAAGCGTATTCGGCTAGCCACTGTCGCAGTGTCCCATGGCAAACCTAGTCAGGATGCATCAGATAAATCATTTGACCCCGAGTGCTAAATACTTTCCCCAAGGAATGCGCGTAGTTTGTTCTGGTTCGCCTTAGAATGTTCTTCTCTGACCGACCCAATTGTCCTGGAAATAATGACGCTCCTGCTTGAACGCCTGTTCATAATCTCCTTTTGTAGCTACGAATTTATTAAAATAACAGTATTAAGCTAGGTTTAAAGGAAGTGAAGAATCCAAATTATTCTGGAGGAAACTATTAGGATTTATATAATAATCGTTAATGTTATCCATGTCAGTAGACCTTTTAAGCATGTTGCTGTTTGATGCTAATGCACTTATAGGTTACTTAATCGTGTTTGTAAGGACAAAACTCAGATTTTGAGTCATTGAAATCTGGGAAATACAGGCATGGCTCTTCAATTAACTTGTGGGTTCAAAGTCAGTAATTTGTAGCTTTTGGACTACAATTTGTGGAACTACTCAAATAAGGGCATTAAATTTTAATTCTTTCAAGTATTACTTTTGCCCCAACTATGTGCATAAACATTCTTGCTGTCATACTTGTTAGCTTCGTCAATAAAATCACAAATTTAAAATGCGTTTTTGAGCTTTGTAATTGCTAATGCAGGAACAAATTGAATTTTTGAATCCCACGACCTGTTACTTATCAAATGTACAATAGTTATTTTGTTTCCCACTTATGAAAGCAAATCGAGTCCTGGTGAACCATAGGTGGCAGGCAATCTTGTCAATTTTCAAACCCGTTGTAATGCATTTTGGAATTACAAATGATTCGACCCAAGTATATCACATCTGGCTACCTTTAACATCAATTGTCTGTGGCTATATTTCTCGCAAAAGGGGAATTTTATCTCGAACTCTTAATTTCCAAATTCTTCGCTAATATCCACTGGTTTGTAGTTTGAATAAGTATGGGTTTTAAGTGTCCAAACTTATCTTCCCATGCAACATTTTTGTTTATGCGTAACCATGACATTGCCAAGTTAAACTGCATGCCAGTGACCATCAAGCACAAGTTTCCCGCGACCCAAAAAAATATTTCAATTTTGCTATTTCTTTCTCGCTAAGGCCAATTTGAATGATTGGTATCAAAAGGTTTATTGGTTCACCAAATTTAAAAAATTGGTGCCATCACTGGAATCAGTTGTGTAACACTAATTTATTCTTCGAATACTTAATTTAAAGACTTGGGACATAAACAATTAAGTATGAGGCCAAACCTCAGTACATTTGCTTGCACCTAACTTTATCGTAATCCTCATCCGTTTCTTTGCGGCAAAGTCCTTGTGGTCACAAAGATAAACACTTGGTATTCTACGAAGTATTCTTTCGTTTATAGTTGGACCGAAATACCGGATATAATAAACAGTATACATTTATGGTTATGTATGCCAAAAGTGCATCATTTGTGACAGCTTTGTCGACACTGACAGCGCCTCAAAAAGTTTCATTCATGGGACTCCACAAATACTCGGTAGTGATCTGCCCCTTGGATTATAGCGACAGATGAGTTTTCTAAAAGGCCAAGTTAATAGCAATTTAGTTGGATAATTGCACTGGAGGAACAGGTGCATCCATTAATAAACGTTGCAAGAATCGGGCCTCATTACTCTACGCCAGCTAGCTTATTTGTCCTTCCCTTAAAAATTCGTGCTTTCGATTTTTTACATTTGTGTGCTCAGTGCATCTGTCCAGGAAACGTGTCCCACTCCTATTTGCCAAGCTTGAAATGACAATGCTGTGGCCACTGACAGAAGTGCTAGTAGAAATTACGAGAAACAAACTGGTCCAAACCAACACAGTTGAGGTGGTCTGCCTCTGATTCACCAATGTAAAACCATTTTGAGTTACAATTTAAGTCATAGCTGTGACAATAAGGAAAACTTGGCAAGGAAGTATTGTTCGAATGGAATTTGTAAATAAGAGACTCTCAAACTTTAAATACGGCATGTCTTTAGCAAGCTAGAGATGTAGCAAAAAAACTGGACCCTTGTAGAAACCTACTTTATTCGCCAAAATACTCTTCACACCTGGATTAGTACTTCTTCAATACTTATTAATTTGGTTCTAAAGTTAACCAGGACAGAGGTCTTACATTTTGACGTATCGCTTACCAAGGATAATTTATAAACGATTCGTTGTGATGATTCACCTGATTTCGCCAAATATGTTAAATTGCGGATAAGTTAGTTTGTTTTTGCCCTTTTTCATGTTAGTTTTCCTTTTCTGGTTATGCAGAGTATAACCTAGTAACTATCATGTTTAGCTTTAAACGATTTTTCAAGGTGGAGTCGTAGGTGCGATGTAGTTGCCTTGAATGACAGCAACGATTTCATTTGATAAATTACTGAATTAAAAATAATTTATCAACGGAGACACAAGTGTTTCCCTTAGTTGTCACGCTCCATGTGATCTGGTGGAGGACTCAAAGAGATATCGGATTCTTCGCTTTTAAAACCATCTGAGTGAATTGGCTCCTTGTGAAGCAAGCATTATTTGCAGACCCGTTTGAAATCAAACATTTAAAAGCCAACGTTGTTTTGTATGGTCTATCGGGAACTCGCTAAGAAAACCCCTAATAAATTTTAATTCAACATATTCCTCTACCACTGCTTAAATATTCATGACGAAAACCGGCTTGAAATATCTAAACTGTGACTTTGATGTCAAGCGATCAGTTTTCAGATGGCTGCAAAGGCACACTCTCCTAAATAGAACCAATTTTTGCGGTAGTTGTCAAGAGGCCTATGAAAACCGTAAATAACGTCTGCGATGATAAATTTGTCCCGCATTTAGTCGGCTCTCCCCCGTTCTTTGAAGGTGGGAGTTATAGATTCAAACTGGTGAAAACGCGAAAATGACATTCAACTGGATATGTAGAGGCGCCTGTCGGAGACCGGGTGCATCAGAATTGTAATTAACAGACCCATTAAATCTCTGGAGAACATGAGGGGTGAAATTGTTCGATACGACGGCATCTGCTTAACTTGTTTGCTGGACTTCCTGCCTGTTTCGTTCTTTACGAGAATGACATTGAAAATTACATGTTGGCAATAACTTTTTTTAACGTTAAATTCATTCAGATTGTATGCTGAAATGCAATGACTGGAGACAAAGTTGTGCGAAGCAAGGCAGAAAATATCATGTGATATCGAAAGTGTTCTAGTCTTAACTGGGTAAAGATAGGTATTCGGGACTGTAGTTGATGGACAAAGTTATTTCACCCTCCATGTCGTCGCTGCAGTCAACTGGCCGCACCAATTAATCACCTGTTGATGGACTTCAAACATCAATTTCACTGCTAATGCATCGAAGGAACGAATGTCCTCGATACTAAGCGTTCTTAAAGGTACTCAGTACTCAATACCCCTGTAAAGATACAGATCTGTTTAAAAATGGTCGCCTTATTGTCATTTGTAAAAATGTGAAAATTGCGCAATATATGAAAAAAGTTGCCGTTTATGCAATTGCCATTTCTTTTAGGCTTGGAATAAAGATCCCACAAAGTAGGGAACAGTGCTTCTGTGAATAGTCTAGAATCCTTTAATGCAAGTGTTCGGCAAAATTTGGGTGTACTTTTCAATCTATAAAAATGTTGATTGACTATTTTTAGCCCTGAGGTCATCCAGCAATTTTGGAAGCAGTTATATAGTCAACTGCCAGACCCTTCTTTGCCCAACCGACTTTCAAATGGTATGTGCTACTTTCGTTTTCACTGGCAACTTATCCACACAGTGTGTCATGCCCAGCCACGTCATTAAATTATGCTGTTTTTATGGCTACAATAAACTTGGCAATTTTCGCGATACAAATGCACAATAAGGTATTTCGTACTTTTTGCTAAAACTGTATCTCACTTCTGGTCCTTTAATGTCTGCTGCACAAGTCTAAATCAGTCAGTCGATGATAGTACGTTCCAAGTCATTATCGCAAAATTGGAGGACTTTGAAGCTCCGCCAACCGGCACTAAATGTAGCCTTGAGCCAGCAGTAGCCTTCAGTGTGTGCCCGTGTCATCTGTACCTGAAAGCAAGTGACTTTACTACTACCTCGGAGTTTCAAAAACTCTTAAAGTTGCTTTCTACTTTTTTTAATCAAAATTTATACATCTAGAACTTGGTTCCTTTTAACATATAGACATTATGTGAAGTCTCCTGTGAGGGCGGCGACGTCGATCTTGTCTGCATCTTAAGAACACCTTTTCTCTTTAAAACCTCATTCAGATAGCCTTGGGGCTACCGTCTAAAACAAATTGCAATTGTTCAACATGTCCACATTAGGTTACAAGTGTAAGGTTATTCTTAAGTATTACGAACTGTTCAGGGAATTCTAACAAAGACAGCTACCTGACTTGCTCTGAAAGCAGGCACAGTGAGCACCCTTATTCACAAATTTTTCATTTTATGACTTTCTAGCATTGACTTATTCTAAACCACCAACGAAGTTGCGTTTAATAATCTCATACAACGAAGCAGAAATTTCAAAGGCTTAAGTGACTTTTATGACACCACAGGCCATACCTTCACACCAGGACAAGGTCTGAGTTGCAACTATATGATTACTATCTACTTAAAAGGAGTGTGCGATCCTCTCAAAAGTTCTAATATTCAAAGAATTATTTTTTCCCCTAAAATAATTCTCCCCTGGAATGCGTCTCCCTAATGTCTTCTTATGTCACTCACGAGCCATAATCGAGTTATTTACTGCTTTTCGCCTGTCTTTAAAGGTCAACAGATGGGCGTGAAGCTCTCAGTCGCGGTCGAAAGTGCGGAGTTTGGACACGCGTACGATGACTACGTGAGTCAATTCAAATTGTTAGTATTTAGAGCACAGCAGAATCTCTATTTACGGTTTTTTAAGTTTCGATTACCCGAAGAATAATGTTTGACCTTCAAAGTCATGTTATTTGACCTCCTTTAAGTTTTGGGGTGATCCAAGTATTCTCATTAAATCAGTCAAATCGTGGATGCCTGTTTTGGGATTTATTTTATTGAAAATCGTTTCTATCCACAGGTTGATGCTTGATTACCAGAATATTTGAAGCCACCTAATTCTTGTGAATTTTTCTGTTTGTCGTGGATGTCGCTGCTCCGGTTATTTTTGAATTATTTTACTTGAAGCACTTTAATTCTAGTCGCACTCGTATCCTCTGTTCACGCATAATATGAGATGACCTATACCCAATAGGTACGGGGTAATGCTACTTTGTTGATGCAACAACGGACATTTACTAGCAACGGCTATGCAAAAAGTTGTCAAGCATGAGATTCGTGGCCTTCTAAGTGGCTAGATTTCATCATGGCATGTGTCGGAGAGCGCCTCTGCACTCACAACTTCCGATTTCAGCATTGACTTTAAACCTAACCGTTGGAGCGTTGTGGTTAATTAACACTCCTTCAAATGGAATATGTTTTAAGTCCAGAACTATCTGAAAATTGGCGTGCTGTGCTGCGTGACGTAAAGGCGCCAAGTGCTGACCTCAGGCAGGTCGCGTAATTATAATTGCAGATTGCGAGCAAAGTTCACTATGTGCACGTGCACACAGGTGACACCTTGACTGCGTGGGTGAGTCAATCGCCTTAATCGTCTTCAATAGTAAAAATGCCCGGGAGCCAGAGCCCTTCAGCAGCTGCAATCAGAGGAAGCGGGCATCTTTTGCTCGACTATGTCGATTCCATCTCAAATGCAGAAATCCTCGTAATATCGGTCCCATTCGCTGCGATTCGACTGGTGAAGTTATTTCAAGTACTTAATTTGGGTGTTTTTTTTGCCCAGTGTCTGGATTAAGGTAACTAAGCCATCGACAAAGACACTGGCAAGAATATTAATAATAGCTTGTTCTGGATTTGGCACTTTTTCCACTAGGATCTGATTTAAATACCTGGAACAACAGAACAACAGTTTGCGGGTATACAACACCAGGTAACCCAAAAATGTGCCTCATAACCTGGTTAAACCTTCCCTACTTGTACCTCCAATCTTTCCATGGTAATCCTCTGCATCCAATGTATCACGCATATTAAGCGCCACAAGGTCCACTGATCTAAAGGCATTATTTTCGAATTCTTATGCTAGAGATAATTTAACCACGTCATACGGAAAATCTTCTCTATTTTTCCGCACTCTTTCTCCGGATGTTTTGCTTTAGCTTCTGTTCGTAAGTGCAGAGCTTTTTAATCTTTTTTTCGAAATAACATGGTTTATATTTTTTTTTTCACTCTATAGATAATAAGATTTAGTGGACGTATTCTAACGCCAGAATAAATCCTATCCACTGAAACAATGACTCACCTGTGATTTTCAGACTACTAGTTGGGGTTAGTCAGATCACTTACAGACGTAACCTAGACAGGGAAAAAATCAGAAACACTTTATTTTGCGCCATCGAGGTATGTTAATCACAGAGCGTAAAAGTATTTTCACTTTGTTTTACTCAGTAGGTGGTCTACTTTCATTAGCATTGAAAATACATGCCGCAACCTATCATTTGGCTCATGCGAACAGTTGGTGCTTGAAGTTTTTATGAAAACTTTGATTTCGAAAAAAGCGAAAATCCTTCGCGTCTAAAGAACTTTTCAAGTGTCCTGCTTACTCATGTCGAATTTCAGAAGTTGATACTTCTGTGTTGTGGCTAAGATGTTTTTAAATTAAGACCAAGCACACCAATATATTTTAACACGTTTTTAGTAAATGGCCTCGCAGGCATGAGCAAAACACTACCATTAATTCGAGGAAGGAGGCCTAGTTCTCGTCTCCAAAGTAGGTTAGCTCGAAATTTTAAAGACACCACAGCCGCAAATCGGCCTTTATCTTCGAATTCATACTAAGCAGGATATCGCGTTACTTCCGCGAGGCAGTTATCACTGTGTCAACACATGTCTCCATGTTTGCTATCTAGTGCCATCTAAATTACGGTCATGTTCTGGTACCAACAGTCATCACTGACACAGTGGCCTTGGACTTCATGTCGGATTGCGTTGGGTTCGACCGTGAAGTACAAGTGTTTACTGTGCTAGCAAAAGTATTCACGTAGAAATTAAGCTCACATCAAATTTTCACAATACATCGTGATGACGAGCCATGTGTAAATCAAGACACTATAAAATTCAAAATTGTCGAAAATAATGAATATTTTTCCCATGTATTCATTTACGGCTGTTTCTGTTTTTAAAACACAAATTGGATTTAAGCATTTTGCGAATTTTTCATGATTTCTAGTTTTATCCCGTGCTCGAGGGCCGAAAACCCCTTAGCCATTGAAATAAGCTAACTTTTTTCTCAATAATTTTGGTTTGATAGATCTTGGCGACTCAGTCTGAGTCATCCACTTGATTTCTCTCCCTGGCTGAGTAATAACATGCGAACTAGCAATTTCATCTGAATGGATTCTTTACTTCACTTGCATATAAATTTATCCAAACAAATTTCGACAAAGTTTGCTTGTATGGTGTAAATACTATTTTTTTACCAAACAGGCACCTGAGTGGTGGTACAATTTCGAGACCATAATATGGGCAGCAGAAGTCTTGTTTTAAAATTATGGGCTCACATTCCTGGTGAATAAAATTTTACAGAGTCGTGAGTGTGTCGTTAAAATTTACTTTTTCATATTACAGGTGACTGGGCGTTCCCATTATCGTCTTATTACTGGTGTGCCGAGAGTCCAGTTATCAGGATGGACCACTCGTGATTTGCTCATAATTTCTAAATGGACTCATTAAATTTTGGCCTTTTTTGTGCAACTCAGCTGCTTTTAGTGCCATAGCCGGTGTTTTTAATTACTGAAAAATCATAGTGCAAATGTGTTTCATGAACAACAATAGAGATATTTCTGCTAAATTTAGTGGCCATCAAATATGGTGTTCTGTAGGATGCGCAATTCCAAAAGATGGATCTGTTTTTTTTAAAAAAAAACGATTTCATGATGCAACGCAACTTACAAATTGACAGTTTTTGTAAAATCGACTTGAACTGGAACAATAATTAAGCTGGAAAAAGACTGGGTATTTCAAACCATTCCAGACTGGTTGACATTAGTGGTGAATGCTCAGTTTGCAGATGTGGCTTGGCAGCTGTGGCATTGCCTTGACTGCAGCAGAACTTTGTAACGACATTTCCGAAGTTACGCTTGTTAAATATTGACCGCTAATGCGCATGTGCATGCATGCGGTGAAACATGTTTTGAAATAAATATGGATTATTCATGAGCTTCTCAAAAATTTCTTATGGATAATGTCAAATTGTATAAAAAGGTCGAGCTGCTGTCGAAGTTTTCCTTGGGGCAAAATGTAGTGTTTTTGAGAATATAGGAGAGATTGTCTGGGGTAGAGATAGGCCCAACAATTGTTGAAGTTTGTCACATGATGGACTTGTTGTGTGTTTCTAATGTCGACCTGCAGTAACATAAATACTGAGGGCTCGTTGATAATGGTTGAGTTGATTATAGTGGTTTTTCCCACTGTAATCTTGGTACCGACTCGGATGCCTTTGCTGGTTTCGTGTTGTTAAATATTTGCGCTCAGCAACTTAGGTAAACGCTCTTCAGGCTTTAATGTCAGTATACCAGTGCCCTCATTTCCTCATCTCTTGAAGTTATCAAAGCTGTGATGCGACGAGCTTGAATACGCGGACGTTTAGTTTGTGGTATATCCTTTCCATTTACTGTAGTCTTTGAACGCATGGTTTGCTTCCAGTTATCTGATTGATCGGTCTAATTTCCACACACGATGCTTAATGCGTGTTCACGTCTATCATAGGCAATGCAGATGTTGGACCCTTTTATTTCGAGTTTCAAATGACAAACCGAAATCGGGTGGCATTCCAGAATTTTACTTCACCTACAATGGCGACTGACACTTTACCTGAATCCATTGAGATATTGTACTTAGTGGGTAATTTAATTGCATTCCTTTGGCTATTTCACACTTCCTGGACAATTAACGCCTCCAATAATATAATATGACGCCGCGACAAAAAAACCTTGTTAGTGGCCTTTTTATTTTTGAATTTCCCCGTTCCTTAGTGGGCAGAATACATCTGTTTCTCTAATTTTCTAGCACACATTTGATCCAAACACAGTTTTTTTGTCCTGCCAACAGTCCCCATGGCCAAAGCAATTATTCGAAACAGTTGTTTAGCACAACGGTCGGGTAGCTTGCATCCGCTTTGTCTTCCAGAATCGTAGTAGCAGTCAAAAACACCTTTGTATTATTCTATAATATAAAATTTATTCTTAACTGTAACAAGTTCCAGTTTAATTTGGGCGTGTCTACACACTACAGCGCAATACTTAATGCGGTGTGGTAGTGAAATATGGGAACTTTAAAAGAATAATTACACAGATGAAAGTTTAGTGGGTCACTTGCAGACATGATGAATGGGAATGCTCACTTCTGTAGAATTTACTAATTTTAGGTTTGTCGAGCGACAATCCGTCTTGTTACCAGTTGGCCTATCATGGACACGAAGATCTCAGACAACACCCTCGTCCGCATGGCAGGTGGCACCGTAATGCTGGACGCAGATCGTGTTTGGAGGCCTCGTGTGATGGTGTCGGGGGCGCGCCACATGAAGCTCTTCTCTAGACGGCTCGAACTACAATCCTTTGGTAAATCTAGCCCTCCGCATCGGTCCTTAATGCAGAAGGGTGACGCTGATTATGGATCAGGCGGTGAAGTATCTGCCCAGGGTAATCCAGGGCGACAACCGGTATATGTGATGTCAGAAATGTAGGTTTTTGCCAACCACCGTGATTTAAATCATCTTCAAGCTTTTGGAAAAGTTTAAATGTGATCTAGTCTACATCAGCAATATTGAAGTAGCACTCTTAACGTGACAAGCAGTTAGTTTTTTAGGTTTTTGTTCATAGAGGTCTATCAGGTTTAAAATGTCAATTGCTTTTTGGTTGAATTCCTATATTTGGCAGCTATTATGGTGCTTGGCTGCATTTGAGTTTAGGCTGACAACTCTATGACAATCACCGTTAAATGTTAATTAAACTGGTTTGTGCAAGTCTTTGTTCTTCGACCAAACATCCTTCTAAACCGAACTTATTGTAAATCTCTTGTGCCATAGGAACCACCAAATTGTTTGTATTTTCATGTCCTTACTCGTAGACCTACGTCCTTTTTTGATTAAAGAAATTTAAGAGCTAAATTGTTGAGAAATGGCTACAACGTTACTTTATAAACACGTTAGGCCTGTACAAACGGAAATCCGAACATAGTGATCTCTCATATTATTATTTGAGCATGGCAGAAAGAGTTCGCCACAAGCTGAATTCAAATTTAAACGTGAAAGTCAATCCCTTGGAATGACGATCAACACAAGTTAAAAAGACCGTATATTTCTGTTAGCATCACAAAGGCTAAAAAGCCTAAAGGTGTATCATAGTACCTCCAATTTCAAATATACCAAATTTGAAATTGTTTGCGTCTATTTTTTTCAGTCTCTAGATCAGAAAACAAGATTCTCACTGTCCATCATTTTTGTGTTTTGTCTATTTGCAGTTAAATTCGAAGGCTATTAATACAAATTAGCGCAAGCTAATTGCAGCGACATCTTTGTCTACTAATCCGTTGTTTGCAATTAAATTTGATTAAAAGAATATTTGAAACCAAATGATTGTAACTGAGTACAGCAGGGCTTTGGGATTTGTATTAGCATTTCTAGAAGTGATATATGTCCATTTTTTATACGTTCCTGACAGTTTCAACGTGGAAGTTTTATGCACATCGCCGAGCATTAAGCACTACCTTGGAGCAATTCACTGTCCGGTCGTCTTCAGCCAAGGTAAGCAAAATCGCCAATTGAATTATAAACTTGAGACCACACGAGTCTGAAAAACCGACGACTTTGATTTTGTTATTTTGTTCAACCATTTGTTTTTTTACGTTTTGTCACTTTTTTCCAGAGAGATAAAATCCGTCAGCTTTACTCGAAATTTTCTAAGGAGAAGTTGGTTATGTAAAACCAACTTGAGTCGAGTACCTAATCTGAAATACTAGACTCATTTTTCTATAGTAAGTAGCCACTGTAGGTTAGAACGCGTTTAATACCTATGTTATTGGCTGCTCAGTCCAATAACTTTTTTGAACCATTGGAACCAATCGCCTGGGGCTCACCCTGAATCGCATGCTTGCTGTCTTGTGGCGTGACCATACGGCACAATTAGCTGTTCCACCTACGGCACACCTTAATGCAATTTGTTTTTAGTGAAACCTTGCTTCGAGCAGACATTAGTTCTTGTTCTATGAATGGGAGGGTCTTGTCATCAAAGAAAAAACCTAACTGGACAATTTCCATTATCTTAGTTCATTTACTTTAATTTAAGGTCAAGGCAAAACTTTTAAGCCGATAACTGCAAAACTTTAAGTCCACTGAACCAACATTACATAACATGGTTTACTTTATAGACCATGTAAATAGTACACAACACCTATCTGACTTTTATTCCTAGTAAAACAAGAGTATCTCCTTCTAGTTATCTTTGGGCAAAATCGTGTCATTTCTGGTTCTTTTAGACAGTGTTTTGAATGGCGGTACAGATTGGAGGGTGTACAAAAATACAAATCGCTTATGAACTGAATAAACATCAGGGCAAGGAAGGCGGGAAATTCTGTTCCATTAATTATTGCTGTTAAATTTTAGCAGAACATGAGTTCGTTACCGATTAGTTAAGATCCCCTCTTTGCGCCTTCCCCAGCAAACATGTAGAGTTCATTCCTGAGTCTGTCTCTTTCATGTTTGGAACTTATTAACTTCAGCTGTTTGGAGGATTAATCACCATTTACATATCTAAAAACACCTCGGTAAAGCTGCTGTTTAGCTTGAGGCACGTTCTTTTGGCTAAAATGACTCATTTGCTCAACCTTGTGAGTGTCAAAAATGAAGATGTTGGTGGTCCTTTCAGTTACGCGCTTAGTCAGCTCTTCCCATCGATAGCTGTTATTCACAGACCGTCTTAACCGAATTCCTGCAATTAGCTAATTTTATCTTTTTTTCACGAAGCCAGTTAATGGGTTTGGAAGTTTAATCCAACGAAAACGGCAAAAATTCGCTTCAGCAAGCAAACAAAGGGCAATGCAGGTATCTGAGTCATGGCACATTTAACACTTCTTAAAGGTCACTGCATGCATACAAGAAGATAAATGAAATGGCCATTTGCTGAAATTTTTATGATATTTCTGTGAATTTTCGATGCAGTCACAGACCATCGAAAGTCTTAGTGGTTCAGTCCGTGTCTTGTTCCTCTTACGGATCAAACAAACGCACAAATATGCTAATTTAATTCAGGACAGGACTGTCAAACTATTAATAAAAGTAGAAGGCTTTGAAAAGCCCCAGTTTTGATAATGTACATAATTGGATGTGTTTATGATTTAAAATCTTGAGTTGATACAGCGTTGCTACAATTGCCCTCCACTCCTTAAAAATGCCTGCATTCCTCACTTGATTGGGCTTACAAGCAGGCTTATATTCTTACAAAGTAAACATCTTGGCATTTTCTCTGTTATGCTGAAAAAAGCTTCCAAGCTAGTGCAGGAATTCGTCTTGTATGGGAAAAGTGGACTTGGATGTTTGTCTTGATGAGGCGTCTTTTCCACTTAAACTGTCGGTTGAAAAGGTATACCCAAGAAGCGTGGAAAGGTGTCATGCCTGTCCACAGGCCTATTAGTGTGAAGCCATGACATTCATGAACTCTTAGTTAAAAACTTGGGAACTGATATTACAGCATCACGGGAACTGAGTACAACTATATCATTATTTTTTTCACACTCCAATCCAATCAGGATTAAATTAAACAAATATAAAATAGGAAAAGGGAACATGACAGGTAGTGTGTATTGAAGCTTTCGCACGAGTACTTCACATCATTTAAAATTGTCAAAGCTTCGGTTTTATTGTGTCAATCAATTACACCGCAAAAGTAAATGGCGCCTTGGCAAGTTCTGAGAGTCAGTCCAAGGCCACTTTGGCTAAAAGGTCATGTTTCTCAACAAAGCAAACTACCACATCCTCGGTTTCTGTCAATGGTACAAGACCTGTTTATACAGAGATTCAGCCAATGCAGACTAAATATGATACCAATGGGATATTTGGGTGTTTAGTGAATGCTTTTTTCGTGTTAGAAGAGTTTGATTACAAGGCATTACACTCAAGCAACATTGATGCAGCCTACACAGAATAGTATTCGGAACTTTCGGGACTGTTCATAATACCTGACACTTAAGTACCATAATTTTTAAGTGTCTTAGCCAGGTTTTCTAGAATTTTGTTCATGTCAGGATGCAAGACGCCGATGTAAGACGCTTGACAGTTATAGTGAAACTGATATCTTGAGTTTAGGCTATTCGCTCTCTGCTCGTAGTCAAGCTAAATGTTGCTGAAAAATTCCCCACTTTGCGTTAGCTCCATCACTTTCTGACCAATGGTGCATTTTCCAACTTATTTTGGTTTATTACCTTGCTTAGTGGCTAGATCTGTGGTCCAACTTCAGCAGTTGAATAAAACCGGGTTTCTTACCAGTCTGGAAGTGTCACAAATGCATGAATTTATCTCGAATGCAAGTCAAGTCATTGCTCTCTGGATAATCGAACTTGTTAAGTTATACACTATGACATTCTGGAAAGTTCAATTAAGTTTGACTTTGAGCTACCATTTCCATGTTGTCTTCCAATCTTACCGCTTTCAGAAACCTTTCATCGAGAAAATTCGGACTATATTTGGCAGGATAGAACGACTTGCACATTGTCCGTAAAAGCCTCGGAGAAGATCTCCTACGTGACGTTGTCAACCAGGTATTCCGACAAATCAAGTTCTGAAGGTACCAAAGACGTAACTTAATTTGATAAAATTGATAATTGATAGTGGGATTGTTTAAATACCCGAAGCATTGTCTTAATAACACTGCCACAAATCGATAACCGATCAATAAAAGCTGGTCGTTTTTCCTAATAAGTTAGGAATTTGTATATTTTCGCCATTCCCTTAGTTGAAAATACAGCGATCACGAGTAGCATTTGTTATCTGAAAGAACGATAGTAGTGTAAAAGAAGCTGGTAAAAGGACTCGTGTGAGTTTGGATTAGTGGTGTATTTGAACTCTCATTATTGTTTTTAGTAAGAACACTCGATTGATCAAATGTAGCATTGGTACATTTTTTACAACAGGTCCCCAATCCAATCTCTCAATAAACCTCTGCTTCAACCCGACTGCACTGGTTCTTCGTGCCGCCCTTCCGGCTCTCCTCTTCACTTTCCTCTCATTCATTCTCCTTTGGTCTCTGCCATGCGGTCCTCAGATTATCTCAATCACCCAGGGCGGCCTGGTTCTTCTTTGCCTAGCTACATGGACCCATTTCTCTGTCGCCATTCCCACTCACTTCAGCTTGGTTGACGCCTGGTTCATTCTCTGTCTTGCCTTCATCAGCATGACTTTCCTTTTCACACTCTACGAGCACCGCCGCCTCGATCGACTGGCCAAAACTCGGCAGATTCAACAACAGAGGCGTATCTACTCTGCTTTAAGTGCTACGGCACTGTGTGTGCCCAAAATGCCCCCCTGTGGAGCAGCTGGGGGAGGAGGGGGTGGCGGAAGCGGGGGTTCAACATGCGGATGTGGGGGTTGCAGCTGTGCCGGAGGATTTTGTGGCGCCGGTGGTGGATTCCTGGGCATCGGGAATGGGCAGACCAGTCAGATGGGCAGTGGTGGCTCGCCTCCCCCGCTAGGTCTAATGCATCAGGCATCCCCGGTCGTGATGCCAACGAAGTTGGTAAGTTGGTCATTTCAGACACTTTCTACAGAAGACTTGATCAGCCAGATCCACAATTGTGTTCCCAAGATTACCTAATTAAAACCCAGAACAAACATGTAAAGATAAGTCCACAATGCGAAGCAGGACCAAATCTCCCCAAAGTCAATACAATTTTTTTTGGAACTGGACAAATTGATAACATGTTTTTTTATTGCTGTTCGCAGACCATTAAATTTTTTGGAATCAATGGAGTAAATAAATGCATTCCACTTCATTCCAGGGGTTTCGAACAGTGTTGTGATTAGAAAAGGTCTCGCAGCCAAGCACAAATTTATAGGATTATGGAAGCAGGTTGCTCAATGGCTTATTTTCTGTGGTTATTATATCAAACACCCCCATCGTAAGTAGTCTCGAACGTGCAGTTTTTGGTAAATTAGGTTTCTTTCTTCTACACCTGATTCGTCGCCCGCACTTCCCCACTGCAACACTTTTTAAAAGGCTGTTTTATTGACATTGGGTTCCTATTTTCACACTTTAATCAAAGAACAATGTTCAGACGAAATTTATCAGAATTGTAGATCATGAGTCATTAAAGATAAGCCAGTGAATAATAATATCTGTTCCAAATGTGATTCTATACATTAAGTGACCAGTCTATACCCGGAATCGGTTTTCTTTCAGGTGAGATGGCCTTAGAAATCATGGGTCTCCTATGATGCTCCGTAGTCATTAAAAATAACAAGCACTTGGCTTTTTACCACGTTAAATGAATGAGAATTTCACAACTAGCTTTTGGATTTGCAGGAAACAGCTCTGAACTATAGTTAGTAGGTGGAAAGTTATTATTCTGGATGCACACAAATTAGACTATTGCCTTGATTAATTGGTTGACTAAAGGACTTTCAAAAAAAACTTATATCTTCGGTGAATCATGGATGCACAGCACAAAACTTTCAATGTCAAAAGCGATCTTCAAAATACTTATTCTTTACACACTCAAGCGAGACTTGGGCGAAAAATAATTGAGGGTGGAGTTAATTGTTCGACTTCGTTAACTCTGTTTACTCACATAGACATTCTCTTCATACGGGCTGCCTCCTACCATGACCTCTCATTTACCATTCACTTAAAAGCTGAGCACACATTTTCACTTTGGACGAAATAGTTGCGGGTGCTTTTAAAACAGGTGGAGGTAGTGTCCTCCATTATGTACTTCGAGTTTAAATTACCTTTTGTGTCTCAAATTTTGTTCGCAGATTCCGCGAGCATTCCTGCATTGTAGAAACCATAGCTGTTTGACCCACTCCTTTCTTGACACCTTAACTCTTAGTGACTTCGTCGTGACCACAAGTTTTATCTAAACACCGGTGTGCGATCCCCCCACCAAGATAAATTGAGAAAACAAATGTGAATACCTAGACGCTGGCGAAAAGGGTCCTTTAAAAACCAAAACAATTAGGTTTAACGCGTGCATTTCATTAAGCACAAAACCGAACATAATACATCTACCTTTTCATGAAATTCCTAATAAGAATGATAGCGATATCGTTGGACACATTGAAATTTACATTCTCTTGCACTTGCCCCTTTGACAGAGAACGTTACTAAATCCGCGATCTAACATTTTGCCACTCTCTTCGTATAAGAGTTGATGCTATAATCAATCCATAACACAAGAAGGCATCTTTACAAGAGGATGTCAGAATAAGTAACTGGATCACATTGACACAGTTTCTGGGATTCCGTGCTCAGTCATTCTATTTAGCGTCTATCTTCTTTTCTTATAATTCACTAAACTCATTTGTAGGATATCTGCAACGAGGCTTACTTTCGGTCGGTGAGTTCGGAACTGAGTAAGGATTCCTCGGCGATCATGAGCCTGGGCACCGCCCTTCGACTGCGCTGTGCTAAGAACGGAGGTCTCGGTGTTTTTGAGCCCAACGACTCCAATCTTGGACTAATTAAAAGCCAGTACGCCTTGGGTTCCACACCCAGTACGCATCCCGCACCGAGTGGTAGCTTTCTGCAGCCCTTGGGACCAATCGCACCTAGCTATTGTACCACGGTCGTTGCAGTTGCCCTGCCGATTCTCTACATTCTTGCAATCATCATATTCTGGGGATTTTTCGGAGCCCAAGGAACTGTGCCCAAGGATTGTCTGGTTGGCAGTGTAACCTGCCAGGCCTTAGATAGGAGTTAAAACCGTGACGGGGGCACAATTTCTGCGCCGACAAAAATATCACCAATGCTCGAACACACACACACACCTGTCAGTTTTCTTGCGTGTCAAAATTCTTTTGCCCACATTGTTTTCCCTTATAATTCACCTAAGCCCAAATGTACAAAGCAATTTGTAAATATCTTCCATTTCCTGGTTTAATCAAAAAAGTCGATGGGTTTCCTTATATTTACATTTTTGGTAACAATGAAAAGGACGGTTTAAATATAGTTGAGTAGCAAAGAGAAAGCACAAAATCACATTGTTGGCTGATTGAAATTCCAAGGAATTGCAGTTTTATCAATGACTTCCATTCTGTACACTAAATAAAACGCAAGAAATCGGTATTGAGTTTGCGTCCACTTTTACGCCGTCTGGTTGCAAATAAAAACCAAGGAAAAGTCTACATAAACCCCGATTTCACTCAGTAAATGGGGCTTCGCAACCGCTTAGACGTTCTTCCACGTTTATGTAAAATAAGCATCCTGAAACTTCGACATTCACGACAATACAGTCAAGCCCAATGGTACAGAACGTGCTAGTGATTTACAAAGCCTAATGGAATTGAAATCGATGATGTTTCGAACATGCTTTTTCTCAGTGTTTTCCTCCTTCCTAGAGCGTTCATCTTACAAGTTATTTGTCCTAATTGTTATAAGTGGATTCTTTTCTCCATTACACCGTGCAAATTTCCCAGGATAACCTTTTCAAACTATTGTTTTATGCCACTCAAGCGCTCTAACCGATAGTATAGCTGTTTTTTTTTCATTTTTGCCAGGCATGCATTAGCGCTAACGATAGGTCTGGCATTTAAAAGAAATCCACGGTAGAGTAATATTAAGATGGAAAAGTTCAAGTGACTAGCAAAATGAGAGGAATCCCACCTATTAAAGTATGTAAAATAGAACAAAATTTGCGGTTTATGCCTAGCCAGCAAATATCAGGCTCGCTTCCTTTCATTGGGTCTTAATTTCGATGGATTGTGGCATCACAAACCACAACTTAGTTAATCGAAATTTTATGATTACCAATGTTGCAAAATGGCATTGCAACGTATTTCGCGGAGAAACAGCCTAATTTACGAATTCGTGAAGGCGGTAGCACCCAGGCCCCCGAAGTCCAATTGGTAGCCATTTCCAAGTGCATGATCATCTTCAACTTCTTGGCTAGTGAATTTAAGTAAATTGCAGAGAAGGTATGACTTTCAATCGCCTGCAAAGTGAAAATCAATGGCACTGCATTGCCACTATTATTATTATTATTATTATGGTAACGAAGTATTTGTGTGTTTACCAATTTCAGAGTCAGATTTAGTCCCTTTCTAGTGTCCCCAAAATAGGGTAAAGCCCCTTAAGACCATAGATACAATTGCGAGAGGGTTATGCTTTAGGCGCAGTTTTTTTCTTGATCAAATACTGATTTGGATGTTTCATTTGATTATTCGTTGGCTACTACCATGCAAATAAATGGTTTCAAAGACAAAAACTGTACCACTTGAGCACAATCCACCATTGGAGGGCTGAATTTAGCTGTTCTAATACGCTTTGACAATAAAACCTTTCCCGTTTGGGTTACTTGTATGAAATGAGCAATTTAGATGGCAGCTTTGATATCCCAGTTTTTTGAAATCCTGTCTTATTTCAATTCATTTCACCACAACTTGCATCTGAGGTTCATTAGTCTTGCAAAACTAGTTTTACCATAACAATATCATCATCCGCTACAGCCAGAAAGTTGGTTTAATCAAGAATCAACTGAAACAAAAACTTATCCACAGGGACGCTCAATAATTTACATTCATGGCCTGTTTTATTCTCAAATCCCTAATTTAATAATGCAGAATTGATATTTTGCCGGTTAATTTAGATTACTATTTCGCAGAAGTAAAACCTTATGAATTCACATTAAATTATTGTGATTTCACCGAGAGTCTATAGTCCGAACCGACGAAACATTTTTACACTGCCTGCAATAAGTCCAACGATTGCAGCGTTACATGCGCCGTTCCAGTATGACACACCCAATCTCTACCTTTTCATCCCGAATTCGAGCAACGTAATTTAGCCATGTCATCCGCATAGTTGTACAATTAGTTTAAGTAACAATTTATCTGGTTCTTTTGACGGAAGAAAACTAAAGATCCTCTTGGCAAATTTATCCCTGATTTAAAAATGCTGATATTAATAATGCGATCAGACAACTACGATTCTTTAATGCATTTGTTTTATCCCATAAAAGAATTGAAGGACTTGTTCATTGGCATTCGGAAAAGCGAAGCCATCTGAATTGTTTTTCGAGGTTTATAAATCTTCAAAATATTGCAGACTACCAAAGTTGAGGATTTTGGCACGGGGTCATTAAATGTGTACGTGCTTGTGAAGCAATTTATCCCGTGTCTTCACAGGTGGAGCATTATTTTTTCAAGATGGTCTACTAATACCGAGTTTTTGAAAATAAAATGTCAGTAGTTATAAATGTGTTGATCTTGCACTATGGCTATTGTTGCAACATTTATCCGTCTTCTGCTTTTGCTCGGACTTATGACTGGAACACCGACTGGAATGAACTCAGTGTTTACTGTTTTTGGATGACACAAGCCCGCTTACCCAATGAGAAAACTGATACGCTTTCTCCATCTTTAACCTTTGCTTTAACTTCCAGCGTTTGAAAATTGACTGATGCCAAAACATCATAAAAATGGAAGAAATTAACCGACGGATGTGCAATTCGAGTGATGGGTTCGATCTCAATGGTAAACTCCAGTGGATATAGAGCGTGTAATTCTTACTTACCCTTGGAGTTCAGGTACGAAGCGGTTGGAAAAATGATGGATCAGTTAGGATTTTGTCACAAGCGTCTGGCATGTTCCATTCGGGGCCTCGAAAAAGGTAGGAAGCTTCTTTATCTTTAACTTAATAGAGAGGAAGGTCTAGCAGTGAGATCATCAGGGCCTTATCACCTATCTCGAGTTTACCCTTCGCACCTTAAATAACGTGAAAAAAGTGGATAACTACAAACTAAAGTTAGCCCAACAAAAGCTATGCTTACGTCCACACCACTAATAACATCTACTAAATATTACCAGATTCATCATGTTTTGTGTTAATTTACTCATCCAAGACGAAAACTACATGACCTAGATCTACACCTACGTCCATTTTGCGTGTCGAAAGAGCAACTCTAGGTGGTACGAAATTGTCGATTTCGAAACAATAGTGCATGAAACATGCAGAAGGTTTCGTCTGAGAACTTCAAGCAATTGTTTATGCCAAATACTGCTAGCCAATGTGTCCATACAATCTTAGAGTGGAAAATTTTCTATTCCACTTGTTCTTAGCAAGAGTGTCCCTTAGGATCAAGAAGCCATAGCGAAGTTGACTGCTCGAAATCTTGACATTCCTGCTCATCAGCATGATGAACCTGAAGCACAGGCCCAATTTTTTGAATATGGAAAACTGTCAAGAGTTGTTCGTGTTAAATTGCAAATGTTTTGTCAATGCCATGAATGATGATTGATAATTGGCGCAGCTAACACTTACCGTAAGTTGGAGACCACTAACATTTGTACCTCTAGTCGGAAAAATCTCAATTCGACTTCACAGGGGCTGAAATAGCCTCGGTTGATTGTAGCAGAGTTCAGGAGAAACTCTTAACCGTTTTTCATGGACACCGGATTAAAGTTGTGCCTGTGGGTCGAAGGGAAGCCACATAAGACACCTTGTTCCTCAGGTCTGTTACGCTCACAGATCACTCTAAGTGTAGTCCATTAGAGGTGCCACTGGTATTATCAAGAGACGGAAAATGCCAATGGTTGACCGAGGAAATAAATGCCGAGAAAAGACATGCAAGTATTCACTTAGCTGGTAAATGGTGAGTTGGACTCTCACAATTACAAATACTGTAACTTTAAATTCCACTATAAGAAACAACTGAGCATGTATTTACTATCAGAATTTAGAAAGTTTTCAATTATTTTTGGAAGCCATAGCATAACCTCGTGAAACAACCTACTAGAAGCCGAGATTATGATGCTCAGCAAAAATCACTCCTGATATATCACTTGTTAAGTTTTATGAGTCTGACATTTTTAGGAACAATGTCTTGCTTTGATGGCCACTGAATCACTGAAATAGAATCTGTAGTGAATCGTGTTGATTCACGTCCAATAACCCTGTCCTCGCAGCTTCCAGCACACGTCCCCACTTTTCACGTGAGATCGCTGGTTCATTACCCCTCTGAATGTACCACCATCTCCCGCTTTGGCCATGTGACCTCACAAACGCCTGTGTTCACATTTGCATGTCACTCAATTGTACACGACACAAATTGGTTGAGCGGTCTAGTGAACGGTTGTGTCTTCCCCACTCCGGTCTTCTATATTTTCGCGGGAACGCAGGGTAACGTATTAGGCCTAGATAATCGCAGTGGCCCCGGCGTGGTTCAAGACAACATGCCGGGGCCCTCAACAAACCCTTTTTAGTCCTTCTGAATCTACAGAACAAAGCTAAACATTATAACGACAACCCATGAGTAGAAGGAAAAGATTTCGAACAAATAAATGTCAATATCACCCAAGTCTGATTCGCATATCAAAAATAATCTCGACTCTTGCCTCGAATCTGCTCTGCACCCCATTTTCAATCGAGCCAAAAAGCTAGAATTAGATAACAGAGACGACATTTGATACCACCACAACCTACTCCTGCCAATGCTTAATGCGACCCTTTGAATCTGTCTGGTAACTGGTGCAATTTTATTCTCATGTTTATTAAACACGCAAGTGCTCCGGGTCTCCCGCCTCCACCGCCTTCTCTCAAGGTCTTGCGTGCGTGCCTGCGAGGCGTCGCGTCCGCGTCCGTGAATGGGGGTGGGCTGCCGCCCCGCCACCGACAACCACTAATTCCATTGATGAGTCACACCATGTGGACGTTGTAGCTCCTTCGCCCAGTCATTAACGCGTTGTCCTCAACCCATCAGGTTTG